CTCGGTACAGCTTCTGAACAAATTGCTGCCTCTCATTGCTGGCTTTGCCACCGAGGACGTTCTTATACTGGGGGATTTCAATATGGTGCCTCCCCCGCTGTGGACCGGATGGGAGGCGGGACGGCGGCTACTTCTGAACTCTCTAGATGGGCGGAAGCGGGCTCCTTGGTGGATGCCTGGCGGTGGTGGCATCCGGAGACTCGGGACTACACCTGTCATTCGGCATCACATAGGTCATTCTCGCGAATTGACCTATGCTATGTTACACCCTCAGTGCTCCCGAGGCTCCGAGATCTCTCCATCCTGCCCAGGGGAATATCGGACCATGCCCCCTTGCGGCTGTCTGTGGCTGTCTCCTCGATTCCCTCTGATAGATTGTGGCGCCTATCCCGCTTCTGGATCCCGGACGAGAGGGTGAGACCTCATATAGCTGTGGCCATTGATGACTTCTGGGGTCTTAATCGGGGGACGGCATCCCCGGCAATGGAGTGGGATTCCTCTAAGGCCTTTATTCGGGGACAGTGCCAGTATGTGATCAGGAAGACTAGGGCGGAGTTACAAATAACTGAAGCTGAGGGGCGGGCGGGAGAACTGGAGCGTAGGTACGCGGACACCAAAGAACCCGAGCTATACACGGAGCTGCAGAGTGTACACAGAGACCTAAAGCTGACGCGTACGGACGCTGCCCGCAGGTGCTTATTGTACCAGTCACAGAGAATATTTGCGGAAGGCGAACGGAAGGGTAGAATGTTGGCCTGGTTGGTGGGGGAGGGGCGTGTAGTGTCTCCGGGGTGCTGAACCCGGATGGGTCAGCCGTGACAGACCCTGCGAGAATCACTGCCCGCTTCGCCTCATTCTATAAGGACCTGTACCGTTCCAGAGTAGATTACTCTGCTCGTGACCTTGCTGACTATCTGGATGACATTGATTTCACGGTCCTCCCCCTAGACTCTCGTACGGCATTGGATACCCCCTTTACTACCAGGGAACTGGAGCTAGCGATCGCCTCCCTAAAGACGGGCAAAACGCCGGGGCCGGACGGATTCCCGGTGGAATACTACAAGGCTCATGCAGAGGGGATTGCTCCACACCTGATGCGCACCTATAAGGCTGCTTTTGAGACGGGTGCTCTCCCTCCCTCTATGTCTGAGGCTATTATAGTGGTTGTGCCCAAACCCGGGAAGGACCCTGTGCAGTGTTCACCATACCGCCCAATATCCTTGTTAAATGTGGATTTGAAGATCCTCACCCGTATGCTTGCCAATAGAATCAATGCTGTTATCTCCTTTGCCTCCCTTGATGTGGAAAAGGCATTTGACTCCGTCGAATGGCCCTATTTGATTGCGGTACTCCGGAAGTTTGGTTTTGGGGATCGCTTTGTTGCCTGGATTCAGATGCTTTACTCCTCCCCCACCGCTAGGGTGCGCATTAATAACCTGCTGTCGGCTCCGTTTGGCCTGGGTCAGGGCACGAGACAGGGATGCCCTTTCTCGCCTGGACTGTTTGCCCTGGCGATGGAGCCCATGGCTATCCGGCTCCGCGCCTCGGCCCAGGTAGGGGGCCTTGCGGTGGGAAGGTTGGTGGAGAAGGTCTCCCTCTACGCTGATGACGCGATCCTCTACCTCCATGACGCGGGACCCTCATTGGTGGCGGCCTTGGGGATATTGGACACTTTCGGAGTCTTTTCGAGTCTCCGGGTGAATTGGGGGAAGTCCCTGTTGTTCTCGCTAGGTAGCTCTCCCTTGAGACTGGATCCGGGCTTGCCACTTACGCAGGTCTCTGAGTTCCGATACCTGGGTGTGGTGGTGACCTCGGATCCGGCCTGCTTCCTCGAAAATAATCTATACCCCATACTTAGACAACTGAGGGCGAAATGTTTAACCTGGAAGACACTCCCCTTGACGCCTGTGGGCCGGATTAACCTGATAAAAATGGTTTTCCTCCCCAAATTCCTCTACTGCTTTCGGAACACCCCTGTCCAAATCCCTAACTCCTTTTTCCAGACTCTGGAGGGTGTCATTTGCAGCTTTGTTTGGGCAGGAAAGACTCCCTGGGTATCCAGGAAGGCCCTGCAACTCCCTCTGTCTGAGGGGGGACTGGGACTTCCCTGCTTTAAATCATACTATTGGGCGTCTGTACTGGTGAGTGCCCACTGGTGGTTTGAGGGGGATAGGGACAACCTGGCTGTGACCCTGGAGGCGGCACTGATGGGATCTTACGCTGGTCTGAGCAACCTGGTGTATAGGTGCCCAAAGGCAGTCGGGACGGTCACGGGACCCATGCGCACTGTCTTGGGAGTGTGGGACAGGGTGCGGAGGGGACAGATGCTGGAAGGCACTATCTCCCCGGAAACACCACTTTGGGGTAACCCGAGATTGGCTCATTTACTCTCTGTCCCGGAGCCCCAGCACTGGGCCAATCGTGGGATAACAATGATCAAACACATCATGCCTGGGGGGATGTTGCTGGGATTTGAAGCTCTCCGAGCCACGTATTCCTTGCCTTTGACTATGAGGTTCCGATATCTACAGCTACAACACGCACATAGAGCCCAGTTCCCTGGTCCGATAAGGGTTGACTCGGAACGGATTGAGCGATTCCTCAGGTCAAAGGGGATACAAAAGCCTCTGTCCTCCTTATACCTTCGGCTGACATGTGAGGGGGGTTCCCAGCTGATACCTCTCTACGAGAAATGGAAGGCAGACATACCTGCCCTGACAGAGGATCTTTGGGAGGATTGTGTCCAGACTTACATTTACACAGTGATCTCCCCCAGGGAACGGTTTATCCAGCTCAAATTTCTACATAGGTCCTACTACACCCCGACTAGACTGGCTAAAATCTACCCCACTGCTGATGCAAGGTGTACTCGATGTGGAGGAGAGGAGGGCACCTTTCTACATATGGTGTGGTCGTGTGGTGAGCTCCGGTCTTACTGGGATTCAGTGGTTTCTACGATAAGTGCGGTGTCCGGACATCAGCTTGACATGGACCCACTGATATTCCTGCTGGGATGTGGAGAGACACTGCAGGCTCCTAAGGCAACAAAGCTTCTTATATTCCATGTGGCTTTCTACGCCCGCAGGGAAATCATTCTGAGGTGGAAGCTGCCCTCCCCTCCTACGGTGGGACAATGGTTGGGCACGATTGACCGGATGCTCCCGATATACAGACTAACATATATGAGCCGAAACTGTGTTCGCAAATTTGATCGGATCTGGGGGGATTGGGTGGCGGCTAGGGGTCTCACCCTGGAGGGCCCGGGTGGGGAGACCTTGCTCCCGCCTGCATCGCCTGAGAGGTAGTCCGGAGGAAGTGGACTGAGGTTTCGAGAGTTGGGGGGGAATAAGAGACGTGGTTGACCGGAGAGGAGTTCCTGAGAACACCCCCCCCTATCTTCCGGAAATAAGCCTAATCCTATGTCTGACCTTCGGTCCTCTTGCTCTGGGTTTCTCCCCCTCCCTGCCCCGCCCCTGTTCCTTCCCTTTCCCTTCTCTCCTTGGCCACTCTCGCTCTTCTGATGCTAACTTGGTATTCCTTTTCATCCCCCTCTTCTGCCTCTCCTTTCTTCTGCCCTTCTCTGCTGGACTGCTTCTCCCCCTGCTCCTCTCCCCCCTCATCTTACTCCTCTCCTTGACCCTATGGGGGCCTGCCCTCAGTGGTTTGGCTGACCCTGGGTTTTGTTTCGGTATTTGTCTACTTGTATCTGTATCTTTATTTTTTGAGTTATCATTATCGTATTGTCTTGTACGGACTGCTGAAATGCTGACTTTAGAATGTTGATCTGTATTTGTAATTGTCTTTTTGTGAGTGTTTTTATGTATGAAAATTAATAAAAAACTTTACCTGTTAAAAAAAATAAAAATTAAGGGGAACTCTTTGAACTCCCAATATGCATTGGCTGTAACCGAAGGGGACTTCCAAGTAAAAAATGTGATTCACCCTTTCTTTTTTTTAAATGTATACCTGTCAAAATGTATGGAGCAATGTTCTTACATTGTGTAGGATATAAAGAGAGCAATGTTAAGATTTTGGTCCAGGTCAGGTGAATTTTCGTTACACTGCTAGCCAGTAACTTATCAACATTTATGAAAATAAATATAAATCACAGTATCTTTATGTGATGTATTTTTATTTTCAGAATTTGCGTCATCACAACTCTGTGGAAAAAAAAAACTAATTTATTTGGTGAACACACATTCTTATAACAAAAGCTGCTTTATGCAAACTGCCAAAGCGGTCTCTGATGTGGAGAACAGCTTATCTAGAAACCTGGGAAAAAAGAGCATACCATGTAATATGTATGCTGTGATCATTAAACTCAAACTCATGGCTTAATGCTATTTTTACAGCTCATGAAATGCAAAACTTCACTGAGCTGTTTAAAACGTTGATGGGTTTGGGTCCAGTTGTTTTTTTTTTATATTATATGTTTTTAGCTATTATATTTTATATTTTTTATTATATGTTTACAATCTTTGTTTTACAAGCAGACATTTAATAAAATGTTTCTAGAGCACTACAGTATAGCTAAAGAGAGAGGCAGAGACATCTTGCTTTCCAGCTCCCTTAATATCTTAATGATATCTGGTACTTAGCCTTTTGATAAGAGAAAAAAAAATGAGTTACTGCTCTTAAGACTGCTTGAGCTCTGTAAATAACTGCTGGCTTCCTTCAGCATTGTATCAGCAAAGATGTAATGCTAAATATAAAAGGAAGACTACAGCTACACCTGCTGGTTCTAAAAAAAAAAGAGTGCAAAATATTCATATACAACATTTTATATTCAACTGACTTAAAAAAAGGAAACATTTTACTGTGCTAATCATAATAAAAAAGAAAACTTGTAGAAAACCACTATACATTCCAGTTAAGTATTCTCTGTAGGCAGTGGCACCAGAAGCCACTTCAGTGTATATTGTAGTTATACAGTTACACAGATGAAATGAGATCAGCCAGCTATTTATAACAATTAATTTTACATATCTGCTTCTTCATAGAATACTTGTGTAATGCAAAAAGCATGTACAAAAGTGTACTGGAATCTTGTTTAAATGATGTTTGGAGAAAGCTGAGGATCATTCAGTATGTACAAGATAAAACAAAAGAGGCAAACCCCAAAATCACAGCCCTCTTACAGTGGATGGAAGAGACATATGCAGAACAGAAATTACTCAAAGTAGGTTATCTGTAGGTATTTAATTGAACAACAAAAAAGTCATTATAACCGATGCAATACTATCTTATTTATTAGGAAACTCGCTACAGAAATGTATGAAATCTTTAGTGAACAAAAAACAAGAGAGTGCCTTCTCCTGTGCATTATTATTTATTGTAAATAAATAAAAGAACAATAAAAACCTACTCACAAAGGTCAGATGCAGGCAGCATCTGAACAAGGGGCATGCCCCAAAAACGCTTTCAGCCAGTGGGGGCTTGGATGATAGAGCAACCAACGTGCCTTTGCCGGTCTCATCTCACCCTATAACAGCCTTGCAGATAGAGTCATCCTGTGACTCCTTTGTTTAGATGCTGCCTGCACCTTACCTTTGTGAGGAGGTTATTGTTCTTTTATTTGTTTACAAAAAATGATAATGCACAGGAGAAGGCACTCTCTTGGTTTTTGTTTACAGATGATGTGATAGTCCCCCTGACTGTTAAGGAGCAGCTTCACTGTGAGAAGATGTGCTACTACTATCACTATTATATATGCTGGATCCAGTGTCAAGATCCTTAGGTGCTGGTGTGATCTGTGTCGTTACAGAAATGTATGAGTTTAGTGGGCTCCTGAAAGCATCAACAGGTATTTTGGCAGTTATAGGAAAACACTTTCAGTGGTATATTTAACAGACCCAAAGGGAGCAAATGAAAGAAGGGGTTATATACTGTATACTATAAAGTAAAACTATGGGGGTTATTCACTTGGCTGCCGATGGCAGACAAGTGAATAGCCAAGCCGAAGTGAAGTGAGCCAAACGCTGTTTGGGTATTCACTTCTGGCTTGTATGGCTGATTTCAGCCATACATCGGCTCTGTATGGCTGCCTTCGGTCAGAAGGACTTCGACTCAGCCAATCCAACATCTGGATCGGCTGAGCCAAAGCTCGTGCAGCTCACTCGCTGCCGTTCACCCCTATGCTCATAAAGGCCGAACAGCAGTGAGTGAATAGCCGAACGCCGCCGAGCGGCATTCGGCTTGGCTGTTCTGTTCTGTACCTCCGTGGTACCGAGCAGAATAGGAAATCAGTGAAAGGAGTTAAAAAAAATGTAAACAAATAGTAAAAGTAAAAAAGGCTGGCTCGGGCTTGGTTTATTTTCGTAGCATTTTTTTTTCCGAACCATATGCATTTCACTCGGCCGCCTTTGGCTATTGTGAATAGTCCATACAGCAGCCGCTCCAGCGGCCAAAGAGAGCCGAAGGATCAGCCGAAGCTACGGCTGGATCCTTCGGCCCCTTCGTGAATAACCCTGTATATATGAAAATATATTACTGCATTATTAATTCATTATATTATTCTATTATTAATCATATTAAAATTATTCCATCCTTTTTTTCTTTTACTTCTGTATGGTTCATAGGGCCCAGTTTAAATACATGATATTTTGAGCTGTTCGCCACTTTTGAAAGTGATGAACTACAATCTCAATACAAATTGGTAAAGTAAATGTGAGGTTGTAGTCCATCACAGGAGCGAGCTTGGACCAGTGATTACTTTACAACACACATTATGTCCAGATGTCAATTATGTCCAGATGCGGCTTGTCTTCCTCAGGTTCGGACGGGTCGTCGCGCGCCTGGACTTTTATTCTGGCAAGTTGGCTGTCATCGTGCATCGTGATTGATGCTGGGTTACATCGATGGAAGCATTTTATTTTATTTTTTTAAATAAAGGAATTGTCAAAAATTGACAGTTAAAGGATTTTTTCTAAAAGTGTGGTGTGTTTATTTACATTTTAGTTTAAGCCTTTTGTGAATGAGTAGGGGAACAAGTACCTTATGCATTTACAAGGGGGGGGGGCGGCATCTGGGTGCCCCCTTAATTAAAAGGGTACCATAAGCCCCCTTGCCGCCAGACCTAAAGGGTCTGGTATAAATCGGAAGGGGAACCTCCAGCTTTTTTTTTTTTTCTGCAGACTGTAAAAAAAATGTCTTTTTTTTTGCCTTTTGTCTGTCACTTTGCTGCAAGGAAAATTCGTACATACTACCGCTAACTAATTTCATCCTAATCCCGAAACGAATTGACTTGTGGACCCAAATTACAAAAATCTGAATGAAAACGAAACAATTTTTTTTCCGGTGCACATGTCTACTCCTGAGTTTAGTGTCGCTTTAATCTAGTAATCTAGTCATGTGTTTGATAATCTGAGTTGTTTGACTTACCTTTTTATTCTTCATCAGATACTCATTCTAAGTAGAATGCATTCAGAAGCCATTAAAGAATCCCTAAATATTTCAATTGAGAAAACTGAAGGTAAGACATTTAATATGCAGGCTCTTTCCTCACTATTCCTGCATTTTTTTTAATCGATTTTGTAAAATGTTACGTGGCATTTGAACATTTTCTATCATGTGCAATAAATGTTACATACAGTAGCAATTGAACATTTTCAACAAAAATAAGTACATTTTGCATTATGTTGCATTTTCTGTGTTACAAGTAAATTTCCCCCACTGTACTTCTTACAGTATGTAAACTTTGTCATTGATTGGCTGTACAGTCAGATTTACTAATTTTAGGGTTCCACATTGAAGCTAAAAGATTTGGCAAATATTCTAAGTGTTTCTATTTTTAAATGTTTACTGACATTTTGACAGGTCTAAAAGCAATTGCCTTGTGTCCTGTGAGTGGAAATCCATTTCTGGATCCAAAAAATGTATTAGACAGGTCAGTAAATGCTTTTTATTATTCAAGGAATGCCATAATATTATAACTTCACAGGCACTAAAGTGATATTTTCTTCAGGGTAAAGTGATGTCTGACCTTGGCTAATTATGGTCTACAAATGATAATTGATTTGAAATGTTTGCAGGCATAACTTTATAGTAAGGTTAAACCTTTATATGCATTCATAATTTGTTTGACCTGTTATAACATGTTCTATCCCAGTGCTGACCATTAGTTCTTGGCTTCCTTTCATGTTGTTTTAAATATTGAATGTTGTGAAATGTTGGGTCTCTGAGACATCTGAAACACACAAATTGTAGAAATGTCACCAGCACACCAGTCCTTTTGGGATAGCAAAGCTGAAGAGATGAGTCTTAAGGGATCGCCTAAAGGCAGTCAGAGTGGGAGATAGATGGGCAGATTGGGGTAAAGAGTTCCAGAGAATGGGGGGGACTCTAGAGAAGTCCTGGAGGCGAGCACAGGAGGAGTTGACAAGGGAGCTAGAGAGCAGGAGGTCTTGGGAGGAGCGTAGGGGATGGTTAGGGGGATACTTTGAGACGAGGTTGGAGATGTAACCTGGGGCTGAGTTGTGAATGGCCTTGTAAGCAAACCTTTCTTGGTTTACCAGTTTTGCCCATGTAGATAGTGATTGCAGCATTAAAATAGAAAGACCTTTGCTTTGATTGTAGGTCCACTTTTAACTTAATGCTTTCTTTTGAAGACACAGGAAACACAAAATAGATAAGTTTAACAGAATAATATCAACCAGTTATCTAAGCAGGCCAGTTATTTGGCTTGAGACTGACATTACATTTCCATGAAACGGTCAACAGAATTTATCAGATGTTTGCTGATAAAACTTTACCAGTGAAATAATATGTCTGATAAGACTAACGTTGTTATAATGTGCTCATGGGCCTTTTTTCCATGGAAAATGCAGACACACTTATATATATATATATAAAACAATTTATGCCTGCTGACTCAGGGTAAGATGAGCGACAATCATCTTTCTAAGTTTAAAAATAGTTTCTAGTTTTATATGTACCTCAGGGGGTGTGTCTGATAGGTTCAAGGCATATAGCACTTAGTCCCATTTGAATCCGTCCTGCCTTTGCCAAGAAGAGTGGTCAGACAGTTTAACCACCTCTGTCCAACCATGCACTAGCAAGGAGACAGAGTTCTGAGTGACATCGCTGGTTTGTGGCAGAAGGGTTTGCTCTGGAGACCGGCAGTGCTATTCATAATAGGTCACACAGGGCTATGATGTCTCTTCCGGGCTAGTGTATTTACAAGCAGCCCTAGCAGATGGATCACATAGCCCTGAGTGATCTTTTATGAAAGAACAATCAGTGCTGTTGGGGCCAGTACAGGGTATGACACAGCACAGACAGCACTGAGCATTCACTCATAAAAGATCACTCGGCGCTGCAGGGCTATGTTATCTATCTGCCAGGGCTACGTGTAAACACAGAGTGAGCTTTTATAAATGAATGATCAGTGCTGTTGGAGGAGTGTCATTAGGGTTGCCACCTTTTCTTCAAGCGAAACCCGAACACTCAGGCGACACGCAGACATTTGTTTGGGAGAATAAGTCGTAGCGTATTCATATGTAAATTGCGCCGCCCATTCATATGTAAATATCACAGTTGAGACTGTTTTCAGTTTTTCAGTGGGGGGCCAGTCTTAATTTTGGTTGTCCCTGTCTGCTTGACATCTTGTATCCGGGTTTCTGATGCCATGAAACCCGAACACAGCATTCAAAACCTGGACTGTCCGGGTGAATCCTGGACAGGTGGCAACCCTAAGTGTCATACACTAGGCCTGATAGCACTGATTGTTCATTCATAAAAGACGATAAAGAGGATGTGGGTACCAGTCTTGCAATTAGGGGGGACTGAGGATCAGGTGAGTATATCTTCTTTATTTTCACCCCCTAGACCTAAATTTTGATAAATCCTGGAGTTCTTCTTTAAAACATGCATTGAATAGAGTTAAATGGTAACACATACCGTATTTTTCGCTCCATAAGACGCACTTTTTTCCCCACCAAAAGGGGGGGCAAAAATGTCTGTGCGTCTTATGGAGCGAATCCCTCTCGCCCAACGCTTGGGACATGTAGTTTTGGGCGCCGGAGCGAGTAGTTTTTTTTTGTATATTCAGCCCTGCTCCTGACAAGCAGAGCTAAATGTACAGTGGGAGCCGCTGCTCGTTTAATACAAGTGAAGTCACTGCGTCCTATGGTCCGGTGCGCCTTATGGAGCGCGAAATACAGTACATAATGCGTGTAAACTGCAATGCACATACAATGCAGTGTACCTAAACCAAGGTGTGAACCTGCACTACCAATGGCAATATAAAACATTTCCTGAGGTATTGAGCTATAAAATTACATAAGGAAGTTTAGCTTTTATCATCAGGAGAACAGCTGAGGCCTCATTTAATGTCTAAATATTTATTTTCAATTGTTTAAAATTAGCTTATAGGACTATTTGATATATTAGCTGATTTAAGAAAATGCAGCAGTGGGGGAGTGGTATAGAGTGTAGCTGATGTGTCACTACCTAATGACCTATGACAGCTTTAAAAATGCTCACTATGCTTTCAAAATCCCAACATGCATTGCACCAAAGCCATCTAGAGGGACAAGCAGTGGGTCCTTTGGGTGCTAAGGAGGGTGTTAATGTAGGTGGCGGTTGTCCTTAGTTTTTCTTTATCCTCCTAGATTTCTTTGCTATTTTTGGTAAGTTCTCACAAGCCTGCATTTTTCCCTGCACACTGCAAGAGGTTACCCAGCTAGGGCAAAAAACATTAGGCTGCACTAAAACAATGTTACTTCTCAGCACAAATTAATATGTTGTGTTCTGATTTTACAGATTAAGAAAATTTTCCTACATTATAGTAAATAACAAGCACATAGGAAGTGACTTTCCTTGGGTTCACTTCTCCCTTGTTATTGAATATGACTGCACTGATGTTTGGCTAAAGCTGTGTCAGGACCTGAATGTTCCACACGTATCCTTTATAAGCCAGTTTCCAGATCCTTCTATAATAGGTAAGTAATATAAACATGTTCAAATAAGAAAATAAAGTTATCATTACTTTCAGTAGTATTACATGGAACTATGAGAACATAGAATGTTGCTAGGGAAAGACATAATCATGCTATTTGTGTAATATGCAATAGTTACACACAAAAAAAGAAAGACACCAAAGCAGGGTTAGTGAGTGACTGTGAATGTATTGTTAAAAATAATTAAACAAAATTGCATGCAGATGTTTACTTCATATTCTTGTTACTGGCATCCATTAGTGTTTCTAAAAATAGACTTTTACAGCAGCTAGAATCACTATAGCTAGATATTGGAAGACACCTTCAATTCCTTTTGAACTGGTAAATGCAAACTGTCATTGATAATGATCACAAATTAAAAATTACCCACTGTATTGAATAATTGGGTAGAAGTCTTCAAGGGTGTTTTTGTGCAACACCTTTCAGAAGCACCAGGGCTTCCAAAAAATATCCTTCTATCCTGATTCCCCACCTGCTCTCCTTCTTAACCACACCCCTATCTTCCCACTTTTGTATACTTATATAATTTTCTGCATTCCTTCTGCAAAAATCTGCTGCATTTTAAAACCTGGAGACTAATTTCAATTATACTGTATGTAAGATGCTATATACCTTGTATAATAACACATAAATACAGATTAGAGGTAAAGGTAAGCATTTGGAAGTTTACACTTTCACTATGCATATTTCTGAAATAAAGTATAATTTAATAAATGCAAAGCTTCATTTTGTAAAATATTGCAATCGATGTGCAAGAACATACGTAAGTAATGCACAATAGGAACCAGGGAGCCAATGAACCATGTTATTTCCTTATTACTTATCATAAACACAAATGACTCAGACTTTGCAACAATCCCATGAGAATAAAACATACAACGGTGCTAATCTAGGATAGGAAAAACAAAAATAATAGGATTCCCACTCTGGAGTAATAGGCCTGGTAGGTAAGGATTCATTCACACAAGCCAGCACACTAATACAGACTGTTTTAGCACACAGGCTGGTGTCCAATGTGTAGTGGCAGCGAAGGGTGGTTTCTGAATAGATTACAAAATGTTTTGTTCTTAAAACATTTTAAAAATGTTAACACATTGTTGTGCTCATTTTTTTTGTAAGAGAACTCGACATACTGCGAGAAAGAGCTTCTTCTACACATTCAAATTCCTTATGTTTTTCTGTCATCGGAAGGACTTACAAATAACCCAGAGATACTACATCTGCTAGAGTCAAGGTAAACCAATGCAGTTAAAATTATATACATGCATAGTAGGCAATATATAAGAAAACTGCAATCAAACACATTTTATTTTAGTATAACTAATGTGTAGTATTGTGCAAAAATAAAAGGTAATTCTACACTGTTCATCAATGTAAGGGGGGATTCTATATGGACCACCAATGTAAGGGGGTAATTCTACACTGATCACCAATGTAATGTGGACATTTACAATGACCCCCATTCCCTCTCTGGCCACCTTTGCACCTCAAACCCCTCTCTCTGCTAACTTCCACACCTCCCTCTTTGCTAACTTTTGCATTCCAAACCTCACCCCCTACTCACCTTTGCACTCTAAACTCTTCCCACCCCCCTGTTCACATTTAAGATCCCATTCAAATGGAGCATTCTGGTATTCCTGTGTCAAGAACCTATCAATTTCTGCGGCAGGAATACCTGGTGTCCTTGTGGCGTCTCAGGTTGGCTGTGCGGCATCTCAGATGGGCTGTGCGTGGTCTATGGTGGGCTGTGCAGCATCTCAGGTGGGCAGTGCAGCATATCAGATGGATTGTGCAAGGTCTCAGGTTGGCTGTGCATGGTGTAAGGTGGGCTGTGTGGGGTCCTAATAGAGCTGTTCCGGAGGGTTCCGGAGGCTTTAGCGGGCAGTTCTGGGTGGTGGGGTTCCCCTGGAAGGATGAAATATGCGGCTGGCAATGTAAGCAGTGCCACAAGGTCCTCAGAAGGCTGCAGTGATGCTGTGATTTAAAGATTTAAAGTGCTGGAGTTGGCGCTTGGTAGCAGGGCATTTTCACAAGTACAAGTATTCGTGAAAATGCCCAGTATTGGCACTAGTAACCAGTAATGGCAGGTGAGGTTCTGCCTCACTGGTTTCGGGGTGGTGTTTTTTGCTGCCCCCCTGGAAAGTGCCGTCCTTGCGGCAGATACGCCTCCTGGCTAGAGTTATGCTTTAAAGTTATGATTTCCTCCTTAGCCCATTCTTCTGCATTTATGTTATTTGAATTAATAGGCAGACTAAGGAACCATCTTACTTCCGTGTGCTGTCAGGTTAAACTAATTCATGAGTATGCAGCAATGACTTCCACTCTTCTTATTTCATGAGCTGGATTTGATTTGTTGCAGGTATAATATGACATTTATTGAAAGGGAGTGTTGTCCATCTCTGCAGCTATTTGGAAAGGCTGACAACTGTGCTGTGATCACTGTAGATGAGTCCACTGTCATCATACTGCAGGTACACTATTTATTGTTAGATATATTTTTTCAATACAAAAGCCTGTTTTGATATATAGTACACTATATTGTATTTAAAAGGCCAGCCTGCCTAAAACTGATTTTTCAGTTTACTAGAAGCTGATGGCCTAAGTTACACAAATTTTTATTTTTATTTCCTGTAGTTACCATTAACAAAATGTTTGTACTTGGGTTCCCAGATTCTCAAATCTGCCACTGCTTTTAGATTGGGATCTCAGTTTTCCTATTTTTTTTCTTACTTCATGCAATGAAGGCACTGTAGCAGAAGAAAGAATCAGGCTACAAGGGCAGTAAAGGGGGCAGGGAACCCTTAAAGATCTGCGCTCCCCATACAAATCATTGGAGCCTCCCCTTTGTGGCCCCCACTGCCAGTATTTTAAGGCTTTGATGTTTTAATAATTACCTTTCTTGGGCTAAAGCCAGTTGCAATGCTGTAGGGTCCTTTTCCTCTTTGCCTCTTCTCCACGCTGGGCGGTCCTCACTTATGCAGAGATCAACACTGATGTGGTGGTGTCAGCTAAACTCTCTGCACCAGTACACTGTGAATAATTGCTGTTGATGCCTACTTAGTTGGCGTGGCCATGACACCCTGAACTCACAGTATGTGCTCAATCCTCCAGGTTAAAGTACACTGAGCATCATCAACCTTGGAAAACTAAGAGCACCTTGTGTCAAAGAGCAAGTACTGCCGAGGGGCAGCTACAGACTGAAGGTGTCTATGACAGCCAGAGTATGCACAGAGCATGTACACATTGGGTGTCTGGACAGGTGTCTTTCCTATGAGCCCAAAGGGTAATGTCTGGATAATGCTGAATGTGAGAGACCTTTTGATGACTGCATTTTAGTCCCAGATATCATATTGTTTTAGTATTTTTAGTGCCATTCCAGCTGACCATTAAAAATAAGGAGGAATTAAAAATGACTGAATTGAAAATGAATGAATATATATTTAAATGTCATGCAGTGTATACCGACAGAAAAATTCAATTTCAGGCTATCAGAAGAACCAGTAATTGTCCTTCTTGCTGAATGATGATAGCATTTGTACTTTCCATGTAATAACTGTAATTACTGGTTTCAGTTTAATTTTCCTATCCATATTATAGTATGCCTTATAACCTTCTAGAATGGAATATTTGATTCATATTTATTTGCATTACCGGTGTGAAATGTTTTGTCCGTAAAGATAGAAATGTTTCCAGCAATCAGTGTTGTATGCAATGACCCCAATGAAAAAGAATCAGATAAATGATTCTGGTAAAAGTCACGATGGCTCACTATTTATTTAGGCTCCTGTAATAGCTACTGTGTGAGAGTATATCGATACACTCCCAAATGAATGTGCTACAATGAAATATGTCAAAACTGCCAAAGAAAACATCACATAAATGACTTGTGTAAAACTGTGATAAATAGACTCAGGAGTTACTAATATCACCGGCATCACCATTTCTGCATGACGTTTTTGCCAATATTAGCTGCTAAAGTCATTTCAAGAATTTAAATTGCACCTCAAAAAGCACAACAAACTCATGGCAGGTTAGATTAGGCTGTCTGTACCCTTTTCATTGCAAAAGAGTAGCACAAACTGTGGTAATAATCACCTCTGGCAGTTTTAGACAACAACCCTTTTCATAGCAAAATCATACAAGACTCCGCTGTAGTCACCTTCAGTACTTTCAGGCAGCAAACAGCTTTTCCTGTGCAGTCACTTGCTGCGTAGCCCGCATAGGGTGGACTATGTCTTTAACAGTTAAACATGGTCACTGTAACTGCTTTATTCGTCATTGTACAGAATGGCCCATGCACATTCTTTTCATCTTTTTGTCCTAAAATAGGATTTGATGAACACTATGTCAAATTATTACATACGCCCGTTGCTGCAATATAACAGTTTGGATGCTTATGTTACCAGCCTGTTGTATTTGAGCAAGATTTTAATCTTCAAGACATGTACTTTCAGTAAAATTTGGTCTTAGTAGCATTTACCATGGAAGGATTAATACATGCAATCCTTGTTGGATTGGATTGGTCCTAGTAGCATTTACCATCGTCAGGCAATTAATTGCGAAAGGCCCCTTTGTGGTCCTGAAACATTGCATTGAATTAGATTATGCTACAAGAATGTTAAGAAAGAAGACATTCTGAAGCAGATTGGCGTGTGGACAACATATTCCTTTAGTGCAGTAGTTCTCAACTGTGTAACCCACATTTGACCTTGGTCATTAAGTCATGACCCAAATCGCACTGAGCTGGAACGCACGGCATTGGGAGGTGTGTTTAGGGTGCCATTCAAGTGCAACACACCTCCCACAACAGAATTCGTGGTAGGTCAACCTGCCACATGTGCTTCCAGTGGAGACTATAAGCATCCATGCCGATGCTCATGGGGCAAACATGTTCTTCCATTGTCAACATGATGAAGCCTTCCCTGAGCAATGACAGGAAGCTGACGCAGGACGGATAGAAAAAGGGTTCTAAAGGGAAAAAAGGTAATTGTTTATGATTCACAGTGCTATTATGGTATTATTGCTGTCCTTGATGCTGTTAGGGAAATTTCACCTCATTTCTTCGCCCTGTGAATGTTGGATAAGAAATAAGGGGGGCAGTTGTCACTAAGACAAGAACATTAAAAATTCAGGCCCAGATACTGTAGTAAGCCTTCAGCTATGCCAGCACACATAGTTTTTGTTCCAATTGAGTTCAGTCCAGGACAGAATATGATTCCATTGAACCGTGAGAGTTAGGGAGTTTGTATTATAGATTTAATTTTATCTGCAAATTTTCATTGGTGTTATTTAATCATTAAATTCCATAGTATTATCAATAGTCTAAGTGCAAACACTGCTTCCAGTGCCATACTGTGGGAAGTGTGCCAAGTTAATAATGTTCTATAATAATACATCATCCTGATAGCAGTATGTATCTGTACCTGTATCTGCATGTGCTCATTGCCTGCTAAGTTTCATTTTCATAGATAAAAGAAGTATCACTGTGAATGTGTTTTTTAACAGTAGTACCAAACTCTGGCAACTTATTGTAAAATGAATGTGTCAGTACCTGGTAACCAAGTGTAAAAGGCAAATGCTTATCCTTAGTAGCACGGTGGAGAAGCTTTCCAAATAGCATGGTTGATATAGTGTAAGGTCAAGGTAGCCTAATAAAAATTATTACACCCGGGTAGCCTAGTGGAGATTTTTATTGATAATTTAAACATTTTTATTAAACCTATGCAGTGGGATTACCTCTGCACTGCAAGGGTTAAGTGCTCGTTTTGGTATAGGGAGGAAAATTAAAAAGTTATACTCACCTGATCCCCTAGGCCGACTATTAAGGTGCCCATACCCCGCGATCGTACGAGAATCGTGCAGTGTAAATGAAGACATGCGACCGTTTCTACTGTACAGTCGCACGTCTTTTGTTTAAGGAGCACGCTAGAAAACCGATTTTCGGCTGGTTTGAATGATGCTCGGGAGACAAATGCCGAACGGGCCTCAGGGGGGCGGGCTTCCAATGATCGCAAGTACGATCTGCCTGTCCAAGATGGGCAAATCGTACGTTTTTTTAATTACTTTACACCCATCGCAAAGTCTTGCGATGGTTGTAAAGTGTATGGCCACCTTTAGGCAGATCCCTTCCACCTCGTTCCCCTTGTCTGCAGTTGTCTAAGGTTCCTGAATAATCACCTTGTGTATAGGACGTACAGTAGTACCAAACTCTGGCAACATATTGTAAAATGAATGTGTCAGTATCTGGTAACCAAGTGTAAAACGCAAATGCTTATCTTTAGTAGTACGGTGGAGAAGTTTTCCTAATAGCATGGTTGATATAGTGTAAGGTCAAGGTAGCCTAATAAAAATTATTATACCCGGGTAGCCTAGTGGAGATTTTTATTGATAATTACTGGTTGCCTATAGGGACAAAAGCATGGAATCCATTAAAAGCAAATTAAATTAGTCACCTGCAACCTGACTGTTGGGCAGACTCACCAGGGATGCTATGAGTAATAGCTTTCTTTAAAGAAGAACTCTAAGAAAAATGTGTATTAACCTATGCAGTGGGATTGCCTCTGCACTGCAAGGGTTAAGTGCTCGTTTTGGTCTAGGGAGGAAAATAAAAAAGTTATACTGACATGATCCCCTGTGCCGACTCTTAGGCTGACCCCTTCCACCTCACTCTCCCTCCTCTGCAGTGGTCTAAGGTCCCTGAATCATTCTGTATAGGACGTGAGGACACCGAGGGACATACCATCGCTGGATTATAGGTGGAGACAGGTAGGAGGGAGCGCTGTCACAGCTGGCCAGCTCGGAGGACCAGGTGAGTATAACTTTATTTTCCTCCCTAGAGCAAAAAGAGCAGTTAACCCTTGCAGTGGGGCTACCCCCAAAATGTTACCCGGAGTTCTTCTTTAAATCTGAATTCTAGGCAAACAGATAAATACACAAGTTAAGGAGTGTTTTACTTGTGAGAGGAGTTCTATTTCCATCGCTTCAGTCCTTAGATTTACACAGCTCTGTCTTGCAGAACACGGGACTTTTCTTTTCTACAGTTTCATTTTAACTTGCAGGTCCCCTCCCCAACCTAGCCTGTGACTGTAAAGTGAAAGGAGAAGTAGCACACTGATAAACTCAGCTCATGCTATCAGCATGGATCCTTGCACTGCAGCACACCTGATTAGCTCTTTCTATTGCTTCTCCCTCTGTGGGATGCTGTACATACTGAACAGTAGACTGCAGAAGGCTGATACCAAGTCAAATTCAGAGATACACACTGCTTGCATGTAAAATATACATTTTAGGATGGACTAGTGATTACAGACCTGCGTCATTTTGTACCTTATATAGTTCAGCTTTAAGTGGTCATGTGATATCCATTTCATTTTCTCCAATTGTACCAGCAATCGTTTTTACAGTTCCTGACATATGCAATTTCAACAATACCTGCAAAACCATTTAGACTTATAATTGTCTAAGATGTCATAGATCTCATTTTAAAACCACCATACAATATTAGGGTGAATACTGCTTTGCTTTGATGCAGGAGACATGGTATATCTGAAACTTACACTCTAATTTGATTACATGTTGATGAATGATATCCAATAAAAAATTAATGTGAATTAAGATGGAAGTGAGTATGTGAACTTTGTGACTGATAGCGGGAATAGGCTTCTCTAATAGTTACATAGTTACATACATAGTATTTGAGGTTGAATAAAGACATTAGTCCATCAAGTCCAACCTATTAGGATCTCATTCTAGGAGTACCTGTACCCCTGTATATTACGGTCCCTTAAGAAATCGTCCAAAAGTTTCTTGAACAATTCCACATTATTTGCTGAAATCACCGCCTGTGGCAGTGAGTTCCAGACCCTAACCGCTCTAACTGTGAAGAACCCCCTTCGCCCCTTGTGCTGGAATTTTTTTTCCACCAATTTTAGATGGTGGCCTCTAGTTTTTGTAACGGAGTTCATTTTAAATAGTTTATCGCCAATGTTGCTATCACCATTGAGCATTTTGTACATGGAGATCATATCCCCCCTTAATCTCCTCACCTCTAATGTGAACATGTTCGCTAGTGCCACCACTCCCCCCTCCTGACCCCTCACCTTTAATCCCGGGATCCGCTAGCCCATCTGCGGCCCGGGATTGGCTTGGGAGGGCGTAAGGAGGAAGAGGGAGGGAGATCAGCTCCTTGCTGTTCTCCCTCAAGGATCTTCAACCTTATCTTCAAAATAACAACAAATACACCTTTAGAAATGTTTTGTAATGACAATCTACAAACACATACTTCTAGATAATTGCTGGCTTTGTGTTCTTTATATACCTTATTTTTCTTTCTCTCCCTCATTCTTCTCACAGTGGCCATTTTCACAAAGGGCAAGTTAATTCATCTCCCTTTACTTCCTGGAGCTCTGGCACATGTGACTAGTACATGTGGCCATGCACATCATTGCAGGGGGGAAAATGCCTTTCCCAGAGGTCACACGAGATTTTACAGTTTACAGATGAGATTGCCCATCTGTAACCTTTTCAGGATGCATCTCTTAGGCATGGGTTACGTCACTAATGCCTAAGAGGACTGGGGAAAAACCATAATTGTAAGTATAAACAAAATATGTTTGTTTTACTAATGACTGTAAGATGAAACAGAGCTGCATGCTGATATGATTTTTAGTGGAAGGGGGAAAAGGTCCACTTTAAATAGAGTAGGGAAGGATTAGAACTTTAAAAATACTTGTCCCTATTGAGGAGATTTTTCACCAGATTCTAAATGCTCACTATATCCTCATGTTCTGCCTGATACACGTTACCTGGACAAGAAATGAGGGGAAATATCCTTATGGGTACACAGGTTCTAAGCTTTTCTGACTCTACTGAAAAGGGTGTTTCTTTTTTTGCTTCCTGTGTCCCCAGTGGAGGAATGACACTGTCTGTTCTGTCTGAAATAGTCATATAGACAGAGAGAAAGGTGAAATCTCCCAGTTGTAGGATACATACAAAAATATTCTAACTCTTCTACGTTCTCTCTAGAAATAAAGAGACAAAATCATTTTGGCTGAATATGGACAATTGTTCTCCTGTGTGGCACAGTATCTGCATAACCATACACATTACTGCTGAACTGTAGTGAGTTGCAGATAAAATTCATTAAAGCATGCTTTAGTTTTTAGTTAAAGTGGAAGTAAACTCGCCTCCCCTTGCTCCCTCACCAGCGCCGACATCTTTGCCTGTTTTTTTTTCTTGGTTTTTCTTTGTCTGTCTAAAAAGGTGGCCAAACACCTTACAACCATTGTACAGCTTTTTTTGTCCTGACATCGCACCCACGTTCAATTTTCGTTCAAACAGCCCATCATGCACAAATCAAAGTAGTCCACGATTATTGTTCGTCAGCACCACTAACTGAACGATTTTCCTTGATCGAATGACCAAATTTTCGTTTGAACACGTGCAGTTTTAATTGAGATTTTTGTTGTACAAAAACGCCACTAATCCGTCGATTTTTGTCCAACTAGATGAAAATTTTCTAGCCTGCTTGAAAGACGAAAATCTGCCAGTTGTACAGTATGGTTGTGCACTTCACATCCCCTGGCATATTTTCGGACGGAAACGCGTTCGCAGCCGAAAATCTGCAGATAATTGTAAGGTGTATGGGCACCTTAAATCAGCACGGCCAGAGTAATGTAACTTACACAGATGCACACAGTAGTTCATTCATTCTGGCACCAAAGTATGCCAAGAAAGAACAGGCAGGTAAGTTTGTTGTACATGCTATGTCTCATGCAAAATGGCATGCATTAAGTGACTTCTGTTTATGTCTTTGTTGTTTATTTAATTTGAGCAATTTTCTCTAAAATAGGAACATAAATAAAAATATTTTAGCAAAGCCTTATGTTTGATTCAATTTTAATTAGAGTCTGGAAGGACTGATTCCTGATAAGTCAGCTGAGAACCTGATCCTCAAACTTGTGGCTCTGTCTTTGCAATACAGCTGCTGCTGGGTCCTCTTATATGCTAAAGAAAAACTTAACTCTGAGTAAGTATCTCCAGAAGACAAGGTAAAGGAAATCGATTTTATGTGGTTACAGTTCTTTAAAAATGAACCCCACTTAAAGTGGCATTAAGGATATTTTTTTCCCTCCCCCCAACGTTAGTGTAAGGACTTACCTTAAATGATGCCTCTTAATCCGATCATCATCTCCTTTCCTGTGGTTTTTAGCTGTCCCTCCAGCGCTGATGCGGGTCTCCGGTCCAGCGATGACTCCTCCGTCCTCCTCTCCTCTGATGTCCCACGGAGTCTGTGCGGGTGCATGCTGCTCTATAGACTTACCTTGTGTCTCTCCTCGTCTCCCGGCCAAACATCTGAACTGCGCTTGCTCCCGCCCCAAGATCTTTTGCGGCCGCCCGAGACTCTTCAGATGTTCAGAAAGGGAGCGAGCGGGGAAGACACAGGTAAGTTTAAACCTGTTTAAAAAGGTTTTTAAAAAATAAGTTTTTGCATATATCTACTGCTTGCTAGCAGTAGATATATTCAAAAACACGCTGAGAGTTTAATAACCCTTTAAATTGCTATTACTATTCTGTGACTTTTGAATCACAAGCATACAAGGCAGCACACCAAACTAATTTAGTAGGGGATTACGGGAAACCAAATTTGCTAATTACATTCACAGACTCTGCTTTCTGGTTTACAGTCCTTGTATTTTACTACTCTGTCTCACAGAGCAAATATATGAGTTGTCTGATATATTAAAAACAATACATTACTTATACATGTGGCTGATATAATCTCTCAAAAGCTGTTAAAGCCTAATTAAACCCAGAGTCAGCTGAATGCATTCCAGGTATATCAAAACAACCAGTTAGCCCTTTCATGGTTCCCACCAGTGCCATAGTACCTCACTGATTGGAGGTGAACGTTTCTAAAGAACATTGTTTTCTTAGGATACACCTTCTAACATCTTTAAAGTGACACTAAACTCAGGAGTTAAATCTTACAAATCCATTCAAGTACCTTAAAAGAGAACTATGGAGTAAGTGTTTTCCCCCATAGTTCTCTTTAGGGTCATGGGAGGACATATACTAACCTCCTCTCCCGTGACCCAAAGCTCAGTATATTGCAAGCTATTGCCCGCGATATACTTAAGCGCTGCAGACGGGAAGGATCCCGACAATACTGTCGAGATCCACCCAGCTGCGTGAGTGACAGCTGGCTCTGCCTATCTAGAGGCACAGCCAGCTGTGCCCACCCCCTCCCCCATCCGTTCCTCCAGTCAACACTGGAGGATCGGAGAGGGGAAGGGGGGATCCCTGCGGGGAGCAGTGACTGACAGTCACCGCTCTCCGCAGGGGCATGATCGGAAAGTGAGCGAGCGAAGGTATGTGTTCGCTCACTTCCTGATCAATAGAGCCAACCTTCTTTGTCACACGTCGGCTCTAACTATGGGGATGAGTGGAAATCACTCACCTCATAGTTCTCCTTTAACTATTAAGAAAAATGTAGCTTATTTGTGCATCACTCGGCTGTAGATCCTCAAATCATCTCTGAATTGGTGCTGACACTGTCCTTCCTTCTGGAGGGTGGCTACTTTTGTTCCCCATGGTCCATGTGTGTGTTGTAAAGTAGCCACCGGTCCAAGCTTACTCCCATGATGGACTACAATGTCATGTTTAGTTTACTAATTTGTATTGAGATCATAGCCCAACATGGGAGCGAGCTTGGTGCCGTGACTACTGGAGCAGACAGAATCTGGTGCAATCACCAATGGCAAAGAATCAGCCTCTCTCTTTCATTTTCAAAGCCTAACTGAGCAAACTGAAAAGAGAAGCTGAGTTAGTACATTAAAGGAGAACTATGGGGTTAAGTCTTTTCCCCATAGTTCTCCTTAGGGTAACGGGAGGACAAAAAACTAGCGTCCTCCCGTCACCCTAGGCTCAGTATACAGCGAGCTGTAGCTCGCTGCATACTGAGACGCCGCAGTATACCACGAGCAGCTGCTCGCGGTATACTGAGACACCGCAGCTGAAGCGGATCCCGACAATTGTGCTGGGATCCACCCAGCTGCGTGACTGACAGCTGGCTCTGCCTATCTAGAGGTCTAGAGTCAGCGCTGGCGAATCGGAGAGGGGAGGGGGGAATCCAGCCCCTCCGCTGTCACGGCAGAGAGCCGTGACAGGATCGAGAGGTGAGCGAACGCCGGTATATGTTCGCTCACCTCCCGATCTACTGAGCCGACCTGTGACAGTCTCATTGTTACAGGTCGGCTAGAACTATGAGGTGAGTGAAAATCACTCACCTCATCGTTCTCCTTTAAGTGCTCGTTCACAGCAGCCCTCCTGATAAAACGCTCAGTTTTAGCAGGTGGGCTAGTGTAGTGTGACAGGTCTGGTGGGTCAACAGTGTGATGCACAACTTTTTTTTTTCTTCATATGGAGGGTGCAAATGGTAAACTCAATTGAGGCCCCCACAAAGAAACGCAGTGTACTGCACTGCGGTAATGTGTGGTGCGACACAGTGTGCTGCAAACAATGCAGCATGTCTGCATTTATTTGCAGCAGACCACACATCACACCCAAGTTGTGGTGTCAATGGGTCACATAGAAAACAATTGTTTTCTATGTGCCTTAGGGGTGATTGGCATTGTTCGGTTGCTGGAAAATGTCAGTCGCCGCATATAGTGTGAACCTTCCACAGAAGTCCTCCCTAATACTGCTTTTATCCTTTCTTCCAATAGCCCAACCACACCTAATATCCGTGCAACTCTGAATGTGTTTATAGACATATACAGTATTCATGTTCCTAACACAATGAGTCTCCAGACTTTATTTATAGCTATATATACACATATCTTTGATCAGATACATCAGTAGAGCTGTTGAGTAGTCCTAACATTAAGTGTAGTAGCAAGTAAGCTACAGATGAAGGGTTAGGTTCTGTGTGAGTTGTGGCCCAGCCCTAGACCTTACTGTGGTGAAGGCAGATAGCATTTACATTTTTTTTGTAAACAACCACCATATGTGGTTACCATCATAACAACCATTCATAAGTCTTCTAAAAGCACTCAATATAAAAAAAGATAAATCCTGCCTAAACTTAAAACTTCTATAGTTTATATTGGGTTAATTAGATCTGTTAATAAAGAGTAGTAGGTTTGGATAGAGTGGGAAAATGTTAGATTCTGTGTGAAGTTTTTATTGATGTTAGTGGCATTTCGACAGAGCGACTAGAAAAATCTAGATAACATTTTATTAGACTTTTTTATGGATCCACTAATCCTGTGGGGTTTTTTACTTCTTCAGGTACAATCTTTCAGAAATGACATTACACAATGTTGCTTTAGTCTATGCAGCTCTAACTGCATATTTGTCAAAATCAGAGGACTTGCAAATTAAGGTAAGAAAAAAATAAAAGGTATCCTATTTTAGGACTTCTTACTATAGAAAGAACGGAGATTACCTGGCTCATTCAATACAAACGTACAAGGAGCAAAACGCCAAGTACAAAGTGCTGTTCTTGAAGCAAGCGATCTGTAATCATTTTGTGTTGGACGTAAATTGGATTCAGAAGAGTTAATATGGGGTACTGCAAAGAATAGAATGTCCTCTCATGATTATTCTGCATTTAGGTGTTACTAGGTCTAGATACCCATGTTCTGGTCTATTTACATCGCTTCAGTGGTTTCAGCGTTTATTGATTGCCCATATTTTACAGCAGCCACACAGTAGTCAATAATGACAAATCCTCATTGACAGATGTGCTTTTCAGACAGGCAAGTAGTGCCCTATGCTGGGATCTTTGTACTTAGCACTTGACTCTCTGCAGTGTTTATTGAATAAGCCTAGATGCCTGCATATGTGGCCGTTTTACTGAAAACAACTAAAAATTTTAATTTTCACCTTTCAGGATTACAATTTAGTAATTTTATACTGATATAATTTTTAACACAACAGAGCTTTGCTAAACACGATCCCCCAATCTTACATTTCCAGTTGTCAATGATTTCCTGCACATAGGAAGTGAATGCAGGAGGGAAGGCTGTGCACAGGAAAGTCACTGACTTTTGCATACACAAGAGGTAGGGTGCAGAAGAGGAGACCAGTTAGATCAGCTCCCAAGTAGGCACAGCTTACTTTGTAAAGAGTATAGCAGATCACCTATAGAGGCCAACACTATCCTGTTCGCCCTATATAAACCAATCTTATCTAACAATAAAGGGGCAAATCATTTATTTTCTTCCTCCCTTAAAGAAATAAACACCCGATAAGGTATGTGAAGCTTTGTTAATTCTATGCATTGTTCACAGCAACAAATTTCACACCTCTACTCATTTAACTCTCTGTACCACCTTCGGTTGAGGACTTTGATTGACCAGGCAGCAGACTTGTGTGATTTACCTGCGCTGCTTCCCCCCTCCCTTCTCTTTTGTCCGCTGCCCTTTTCCTTTCTCATATCTATAGCAACATAGACTTTATTCAAGGCTCTCAAATGCACAAGGTACCTCTTCTCTCCTTTTCATGCAGAACATCACACTTCTACATGCAGCAATGTATGCTTCTCTATTATACTCAGTGGTTCACACATATTACCTTAGACCTAACTGTAATGTGCAATGTCTCATGCCTCTCTATTACACACCATATCTAAGGCCTCAACTAGACACAGTGCCTTTCACATGTTTTAATAGCCGCTACTAATCCAAATTCCATCAAAGAAGAATAAGACATATTGGAACCATAACATAGATTTGGCAGCACAAGCCAAGGGAGTGGGGGAAAGAAAAAGAATGCACCTTTAATGGCCGGGACAGGAGTATGATTGCATTATCACTCACAACATGATGATGTTATCAATCTGTACGTGTCATTAATGCATATTCAGATAGCTTCCCAACAATGTTGTAAGTTGATGTTATCAGATAGCTCACAGAGTAATGATCAATGTGTTCAGGAGAAATATGCAGGGGCTTCCAGTTCAGTATTCCAGATGTAGGAGTCGGCTAAGCAGGTACCATTCAATTGTATGGGCCCAGTATCACTTAAACCCCCTGTAAATACAGTGGCTCTGCTATGGTTAATACAAACTATTGGTTCATCCGCATAGCAGTTAACTCTTAGGTAAACCACATCTGGCCTCCAATATAAAAACTAGGGAAAAGTGCCCGAGTTGACATAGCAGTCACCTGTTTCCTCCCTTTACTAATTGACTGCAGAGGGAAATGATAGCCGGAATTTCATTAGTTGCTGCAAGAAAAAGATTGTATTGAAATATTTAATAAAGAACACTTCCACTCGCTTAAATCTTCTTTTAAGTGCTTCTTTGCCCACTTTTGTTGACACAAAAACTCAAACGTCCACACAGGTTTTCCCTCGTAGGGGTTTTTCAACATAACGTACACACAGTACTTGCAAAAAGAACACAGACTCAGGTTCTTGGCTTTTACTTTCAGTGTCTGTCTGTTTTGACTCACCGGTTCTCTGTCTTTGTCTGTTTCTTTCTCAGAATAGTCCCAACTGTTTCTCTCTCACAGTCACAATCCTCCAACTTACTTGCCACACAGGCTGTTTTTCACCACACAGGTGTATTCAGTAACTCAGCCTTCCTGACCCCTAGACACTGGAACTGCCAGGGTCGTTATTGTGACCCGGCCCTGGCGTTCCTGCCCCGCCCCCCCTGAGATAGTGCCACTCCTTCCCTGCCGCCCTGCCTCCC